GTGGATTAGAATTAGTAAAATTAGATTTAGGATTAGAGTTAGTAAAGTTAGAGTGGGATTAGGATTGGTAGAATTAGGTTTAAGATCAGGATTATTAGTAAGGTTAGGGTGGATTAGGATTAGTAGAATTAGGTTCAGAATTAGAGTTAGTAAATTAAAGTTAGGATTAGATTCAGAATGAGGGTTAGGATTAGGGATAAGGGTTAATGTTAATGTTAGAGAATTCTATTTTAGTACGAAACTAATAGCTAATAAATTTTTTATTTGTATATAGATTACAGAATCCAATTCAACATTTAGAAGTATAATTGAACATGAATATGATGTACCACAAATTCAGTTATGTTAACTTTTCTGGATATACCTGTCAACAATCTTCAAGAGCTATGGGAAATTATTATATTGCTATAACTTCAATTTCACCTACTACACCGCATTACATTGTAATTCTTAAAGATTTAACTTCACTTTGTACCTACATGAATATCATAAATCAAGGTATTCTATGTAGGCATCAATATTATGTTCTTCTTCAGTCAACTAAGGCAGCATTTCATATTTTATTCATTCATACTCATTGGCTTAAAACACAACTACTCCATTGCATTATATTGAACAAATTAGGAGAATATTAGCAAGAAAATTCAATTTGGTAATACAATGTCATTGGCGAAAACAAGCGTTCAAATTGCAATATCAGAATGTGCTACAGCAAAACTTTTAGGTTTACTTATGCAATTTAATATGAAGTATCGTAATAGTACTGGATTTGGTTTAGAAGAAATTCATAATTCATCTACTGAAGTTCAATCAACAAGCCGAACTCGTTTTAGTAATTTGGAAGACAATTATAACGTTTCTAATCCAGAATATCATAGACAAAAGGGCCGACCTCCAAAAATATACAAATCATCAACAGAAGAAAATACTACGAAACATACTCCATTGTCTAAAAGTGTAGTTATTGTTTGGGTATAGGACATAATATTCGTGGTTGTGCAAAACACAAGGCTGATAAAGAGAACAGTGAAATTAATACTTAAATTAGAAAGAAATCGGCGTATTGGCATGTAATTAATGTAATTTTATTATTTGTATTAGCATTACATTATATAAATTATTGCGTAAATAAAATTTAAATCTGAAATATTAAATTTAATGGTAAGTACTTTAAAGTCACATGGGTTGATTTCATATTAATCTCATCTAATCTAAATAAAATGATAATTGTCACACCTACGTCATAAATTCGATTGTCTAATTAATTCTTCTATGCGACTGAGATTTTCTTTTTTTTTTTTTTTTTTTTAGGAAGGTGAATCGAATCTGAACGATACAACTAATATTAGCAAATAAACTTTCAGAATCATTATTCTTGTCTTAATAGATTTGAATCAAATTTACTATTTAATGTATCTAAATTTTTTAAGGATATATTTTATTATACATTATTCCAATTTAGTAAATATTTAAAAAAAAAAAAAAAGAAAAAGGAATTGGGGCCATATTAGTTGAAACTACGTTGTTAATCGGCAAATTTGTCATCGACTAGAAAATCGTGTTGTATTAAATACAACGAGATTCATTTAATAAAATCATAATTTATTGATTAACCTAAATTATTTATTATTTGATAAACATTTACGTCATTATTTCTTAGTTCAAGATATTGAAATAGAAATATTTATTTTGGCTAAATGCAGATGCGTTATAATTTGACTGCTTATTTGATTAAATCAAGAATTAATCCGAAAAAATAAGCTTTTTTGCATACATGCTTAAATATTACATGCACCATACATGAGAGTATCTGTATGTCAAGAAAATGCCAATTGATAAGAGGAAGAATTTACCAAATCGTAGAAAATCCCGTTATTGCAGCTACCAATTTCGGACGTTTTACATATTATATGATCTATATTATGATCACTGAAAAAAATTAGATCGCGCATTATCTTGCTTGAAACTGTTTTACAATTTTAAGTTCCAGTTTAAAATAAAATTATATCACATAAATGTATTCTTGGCTTATTTATTATTATCTATGCGTTTTGCATGATTGCACACATATATAAAAAAAATTTTTGAGATTGTTTTTCCTTTGCCAAATTCCCATAAATTACCTTATGATACCAATCATAAATCTATCACTTTTGTACATAAATCTCACACTAACAAATAAATCCTTATCATAATACACAGATTCTTTTTTATTGCGTAAAGGAAGATATTTCCTCATGCATATTGCACTACATAGATGAAATCAATATGTACACAAAGATGATCTCGGAAAAATTAAAATCATAGATAAAACTTTTCGTTAAAAAAGTTCTTGAAATACAGTATGTTCAGTAAAATTCGATAGAATTTAAAGTACAAGAGATATAACATATAAATATCTGAGAAAAATAAAAAACTTCCAGTTAAAGGAATGATTTGCAAAGTGATTTATTCGTTTGTTGGCGCAGGTTTAATTTACAACTAATTATATTTCACTAGAAAAAGGTCATCGAAATCTTCAAATTTCCAATTCTCCGTCAAGAATTTATATGACTCTTGCTCTGTGTGTTACGATATGATTTATTATATGCTTGTAAAAAACCACCTATATTCTCCTTGCTACTTAAGACAAATTAATTCTTGTTAATTTTAATCTATTCTAAAATTTTTTTCAAGCTGAAAAATCTAAAAATGCTACTTGGTCACCAGATCGTGTCTAAAGATCACGTGCTAAATAAAAAATTTTTTTTATATTTTAACAAACAAGTTTGCTATTTACTACCGCAGGTAAAAATCACCGGCGGCTGAGTAACGTAATATCGTGGCTGAATCACATGATATTAGAATTTAGTTTGAATTTAAAATTCGAATCTATAATATAATGTATATTAGTCGCTATATTTATTATAATAATTATTATAATCTTTTATAATAATAAAGACAAGTTTTGCGGTGAAATGAATAAAGTAGAATTATTGGTTTATTATAAAAAAGATCTTTTCGCTTCACAATAGATTCTGACTTTAATAATGGTCGTTTTACCGTCCCGTTTTATAATAATACAAGTATTAATTCAAGTCTGAGGGGAAGAAGATTTTCAAGAACGTTAAAACAAACGCGTTTAATTTATGATGATGAAAATGCCTCGAAGTTCAAGTAATTTGTTTATTAAGTAATAACTTATTATGATAATTTTTTAATAACAATTTGGAATATTTCCAAACACCAACGCATTGAAAAGCAATATGATATAATATGTGTTCTTTATAACTAGGGCTGAGATACATCCACGTACTCAAATGCTTGAATAACAAAGAATTCGAATATAAACCAACTTTTTTTTCGGTTTTTAAAATAAAATTTTTTTTTATATATATTAGTATTATAAAATTCTGTTAATATAATTCGCTAAAACGTGAATAAGACAATACAATAAAATTAATCTTAAGTCCTACCTTAAAAAGATTCTTTTATGCATAGATTTAAAACTTTGAAGTATTACTTGATGATGTAAAGAAATCACAACATTTAGAATTCATTCAATAAATCCTGGGGATTGAAACGATATTTGCTACGAATCACGTGTGAAATATTCGAATTTGGATAATTTCTAATTGTTCGACCAAAAATATTATTGTCATTTCCAAATTAATCCTAATTCATTTTTTTTTTTTTTTTTTTTTTTTTTGAAATAGTGTCCCTTCATTGAAATGGGTTTGTTATAACCAAACAGATTTTTTAAACAATTATATATTTATTTTTTTTTTTTGACAGATTTCGTTGTACAATTTCCCTTTGAAGATATCGAAAAAAGATTCGCGTTTTAAAAAAATAATGGAAGAGAGAAAAAAAAAAAAAATAAACAAAAAAAAAAATGCTGTTATTATTATATGACACAATGGTCATGCATGGTATTTAAAATATCCATTGGATTTAACACGTGTTCAATTCATTATTGGGAACGTTTTTACACAATTGATTGTTATTGGTAATCAAGTTGCAGTTTTATTTATTGAATTTTAAATTTATCCGATAAGGATATAAAGATTCTAAATAAATGATAAATCAGATATCGTAAGCATAATATGACACAATAGAAAAAAACAATTGAATTCCTTTAAAAGATAAAATTTTCAGAAATTTGCCAACATGTAATGCAGTTGAAATTTGGCATATAATCATCTTATGTATATGCGTTAGAAAAGGCTAAATTCATTCAAAATTTCGAAGAAAAAAAAAGGAATTGGCAACGAATAAAATTTAAGAAAAACAACACGCGTTGGTTAAACAAATAGATTTATACAAAATGCATGCTGCATAAATTTTCCGCATAAATTTCTTTTTACAAACCCTTTTGTTAAGTAGGTAACTTTTAAGTAAAAAATTATTATATCAAGAAAATAATTTTTTTTGAATTTTGACGGAAAAATTATTGACGTCTTTTTTATTTTTATTTTTTTATTTTTTTTTTTATTTTATTTGTTGTGTTTGTCAGGAAATTCATTCAATTGAAATGAAAGTTTATAACAAAAATTTTTTAATAGCCTTCTTTCCTTGTATAAAATATAAATTATGCAAATTATGCAGTAAGTAATTTTTTTAATTATTAATTACCCAACTATCGGTTAATTTATATTCAAAAAAAATGTGGCATATAATTTTTTTTTTTATTTTATTTGTTGTGTTTGTCAGGAAACTCATTCAATTGAAATGAATGATTTATCCACGTTTATAACAAAAATTTTTTAACAGCCTTCTTTCCTTGTATAAAATATAAATTATGCAAATTATGCAGTGAGTAAATTTTTTAATTATTATTAATTACCCAACTATCGGTTAATTTATATTCAAAAAAAAATGTGGCATATAATACAAAAATCATTGGCTCTCAAAATTTACCTACGAGTCTAGAACCACTTAAATAGAGACTGAAGTAAGTATGAAAAACAGGCGGTGTGCAACGATTTTTTTTTTTGCTCCTCTACCCAGTCTTTCTTTACATGGATGTAAACGAAATCGAAACGTGCTCGTTTTCGTCCTTTAACACAAAGTCCACGAACAAATGGCCCTTGAACATTATACCCTGTCGTAAGTGATTTTATGTTTATTATTACACATCAAAAAAAAAAAAAACTCGTTTTCTTGATATAAGCAGTATTTGTAAGCAAAATAATTACACATTAGTAAACAAAAGATTTGTTTGATGGTTTGATCCAACGTTTTTCCATTTATTACACCAGATTTCATAATATTAATGTCAAAATATTCCTAACCTATCTTTGTGATTTTTGTTTACAGAGCAAACAATCAACATTAATCCTATTGGCAAGCCAATACCAAATAAACGAGGAAGAAAACCACTAACGACGATGCCTTCTACGGTACGCGCTATAGCATGTGATTTTTAGACTAAATTAGTTTAACGTCCCCTCTTCGGATGGAAAGAGGGGGGAGGGGATAAGTCTTGAACTTCTTTTATCGGGTTTAATTAGAGGGGAGGGAGGACGTTAAACTAATTCGTGAAATAGTTTATTAGATCTATACCTTAATTCATAGCACCCTAAAAAGATGTATACCCGATTTTTTATATAAATTATAATAAAATCGAAAATTTTTTTTTTTTTTTATTTTTTTAAAAAAAAAATATAACGATATTTGCTGTGACCTTTTTTATTATTATTATTATTTTTATTATTATTATCCTTATTATGTTTTTTATTTTTTTTTAATGCATTTTACACATAATTAACCTAAAATTTTTAACTTTTTCAATTTAAATTAGAAAAAACATATTCAAAATTTGGCGAACCAAAGAGCTTTTCGTCAAAGGCGCGATAACTACGTAAAAAATTTGGAAAGTAAGGTCTTAGATCTTGAAAGACAACATAGTTCTGCTCAAAATGAAATTAAAAATTTAAGAGATGAGGTGGAAATGCTAAGAAAAAAGCTCGATTCTTCTAGGTCAACAAGGAACGAAGCGATGAAGAACGCTGATAATCGAGATTCAGATACACGTTATGGAAGCATTGTTGGTTCTGCAATGTATCAAGCAATAATCGAAGATAGTCAGAATGAATGTGACGCCATAATGAATGATGTAAATCAAACACCTAATGGAATATATATTCATCAACCCACAATTTCATATAACGAGCAACAGCCCCAATATAACCAAATTAAAGTAGTGCGACAGCTTAATCAGCTCAAAGAAAATAAATTGTCGCTGTCATATAAACGTAGTAAACCTGGCTCATTTCCTAATACGTCGAACTCCAATTCAATCGAATCAGTTGACGAAATTATTCATAGTCCTTTATTTTGTGACCCCAAAGGAAGCAACATTTGCTTTAGTGAGTCAATTAATGGTGATTTGGGCTTAAGCGGTGCAAAAATTTCATCCCAAATACCTACGATAGACTCCATGGGTAAATACATTTTCGGTCAAAAAACATCCATTTCGCAGCGCGATAATCAATCATGGATTCATCAAAATCATCCTTATTTCAATCCTCCTCCTACTGTAACCACAACGGTAGGAACCTCCTTTACTCAACAACACCACCCCTTGAATTTAAAATGGATTCTTCGTGAGGAACAAAACATTGATTGAGAACATCTCATCTTTAAAAAGAATTGGCCAATTTTTCATAGATCCTCAACTTCGTTTTTTACTCGCATATTTTACGTTAAGATCGCTTGTTATAATTTCCTTCCTATCGACTTTTCTACTAAATAATTATCCGTCTTCTTCTTTTATTTTAAGATTATGTTTTTTTTCTCTCCCAATTTTTTTCTCTTCTTTTTTTCTCTTTTGATCGATCAAAAAAACATTCATGCATAAGTTCCTCATTTATTTTTCTTTATTTTTTTCTTTTCCCTTACGCTCTACTTTATGTATATACATCTCATATGCAAAAAAAAAAAAAAAAAATCAACAAATTTTACTCTTCCAATTGTACTTTATAGTTTATGTTTCGTTCATCATTATTTTTTTCTTAAAAAAAAAGTCGTTTAAAATATTTTCCCCTTCCCACATTCCTTAATGGTTACCTTTTCCCTTCCCACATACATTGATTAGAACAACATAGTAAATTTTTTTAACAACATACGTAGTAAACTTACCTTCTTTATCGAAATTTAGTTTTTAAATTTACGATCTCTATCGTTATACTCTGTCACTTTTTCCTTTATCCAAAAAAAAAAAAATATGATAATACCCTAACAAGATTGACTATAAGAAAAAGATCTTTTTCTTTATTTCTGTAAAAAGAAATTAATCAAACACGAACCTCGAAATTTTTTGAAATGTTTTTAATGATCGTGACGCGTCAACATGCTTATGTAACTCATGTGAAAAAAAAGTGTTATCTAGATCGGAAAATTAATAACGTTTCACATGTCAAAGGAGAATAACTTTTTTTTTTTTTTTTAGAAGAAATAAGTTAATTATAATGATATCTATTTGTTTGTATTACGTATGATTTAGCACCATCTTTAAAATCTATGCAAGATTCGAATTTGAAGTACATAAATAAATTAAATTCGCCGTTCATCACGAGGGTGGGAACATCATTTAGAAAAGGAAACACCGCAACCTTAGCATCCCGAAAAACACTGACCAGATTAATTTGACGTGACCTTATCAACAAATAAAAGATTTCACGTTATTGACCAATGATTCGGGGTGACAAATCCAGTAAATCATATGGTCACATGATGCCATGCGGCAAATAATATCACAAATATGACGAAGTCATCTAACGATCCCCCGATCTAACTAATTTTAACACTAGTCGTAAAATTGTAAATAAAACTCTTGATATAATTGAATTCATTTTGTAAAATTGGAAAAAATTAAGGTTTTGGATATACAAAGTTGTAAAATTTTTTGATTTTACATTATTAAAATATCAAGATAATTTGTTGTTTGTCGATGTTTAAAGATAGGCTAAAGTTAAATATCTTAAAATAATTTTTACATAAAAACTTAAAAATCAGTAATTTAAATAAAATTATTTAGTATTTATATAAAACCTTAAATTGATATTGTAGCGTTATTATTATGTAATAAAATTTAATGTTACCGATGTCACGTGATCGGCAAAATGGAGAAAATTTGATGTTACACGAACGAAAATTCATCATGGGAATTGCTATCTATTATAAGATCGGCATAATGCTTATTACAATTTTCATGTTTACTTATATGCTAATATTACTTTCCAATAATCCTAACCTTTGAAATTTTAATGTAAAAAATAAACAGGTCTTATACATTCTAATTGTAAATTTGTTAATATTATTATAATAATAGTTTAAACAATCTTTGGTTTTAAATAAACAAATTATCTTATCCTATAATATAATAAATTATAATTATTTTAAAGTTTCTTTATATAAAAGTTTAATTTGATATTTTAAAATTATAAAACAAGTTAAATTACACATAATATTTTATTTTAAGAAATTTAAATTGTTATATTTATAAAAATAGTATTCTAAATTATAAAATTTATAGAAATTTACTAATTTTAATTTCATAGTAAACATTATAGCTAGAATGATAAGTATAATATATCAAAATCATTCTTGTTAAAATAATAATAAAAAATTTATTTTTATTAAAATGATAATTTTGAAATTATTCTAACTAGAAAGAAAATTCAAAATTATTTATACAAAAATGATAAATTTAAAATGTTTATGCAAAAATAATTATTTTTATTAGAATAATAAATTCATTTTAGCTAGAATAATAAATGAAATCATTTATATAAGAAAGATAAATTCAAAATTATTTATATAAAAATGATAAATTTGATTATAATTTCAAAAAAATCCTAATCTATTTAATAATATTTAAAATTTTAAAAAATAATTAATTATCTTTTAATCTAAAAAAAAATTTTTTAATAGAATCTTTCAGGTGATTATTAAATTGATCAATTTAAAAATTTCAAAATATTTATTTTAATTAGGGAAAATCAAATTGGTGACCCAGATCTCCATAGCGACCACTGATTAACCAATCAAATTTAAGCATTAAATAATATGTTCAACCAATTAAATTCATCATTTTACAAGTCATGAAAAATTTCTCATGTAACGCATTATGATTGTATTACGAGTCATGAGAATTTTGATCATGTAATGTGTTACGATCATATTGCAAATTATGAGAATTTTAATCGTATAATGTATTACGATTGTATTATGAGTCACAAGAATTTTGATCATCTAACGCGTTACATTTGTATTGCGAGTCACGAAAATTTTGATTATGTAATGCATTACACTTGTATTGTAAGTCACGAGAATTTTGATCATGTAACGTATTACGATCGTATTGCGAGTTATGAGAATTTTAATCATATAACGTATTACGATTGTATTATGAGTCACAAGAATTTTGATCGTGTAATGTATTACATTTGTATTACAAGTCATGAAAATTTTGATTGTGTAATACATTACATTCGTATTGTGAGTCATAAGAATTTTGATCGTGTAATGTATTACGTTCGTATTGCGAGTCATGAGAATTTTAATCATATAACATATTACGATTGTATTATGAGTCACAAGAATTTTGATCGTGTAATGCATTACATTTGTATTACAAGTCACGAGAATTTTGATTGTGTAATGCATTACATTCATATTATGAGTCACAAGAATTTTGATCGTGTAATGTATTACGTTCGTATTGCAAGTCATAAGAATTTAATTGTATAACGTATTACGATCGTATTATAAGTCATAAGAATTTTGATTATGTAACGCATTATGTTTGTATTGCGAGCCACGAAAATTTTGATTGTGTAATGTGTTATGATCATATTGCAAGTCATGAGAATTTTGATCGTGTAATGCATTACGTTCATATTGCGAGTCATAAGAATTTTAATCATATAACGTATTATGATTGTATTATGAGTCACAAGAATTTTGATTGCGTAACGCATTACATTTGTATTACAAGTCACAAGAATTTTGATTGTATAACGTATTACGATCATATTACGAGTCATAAGAATTTTAATCATGTAACGTATTACATTCGTATTATGAGTCACAAGAATTTTGATCATGTAACGCATTACATTTGTATTACAAGTCACGAGAATTTTGATTGTGTAATGCATTACATTCGTATTATGAGTCACAAGAATTTTGATCGTGTAATGTATTACGTTCATATTACGAGTCATAAGAATTTAATTGTATAACGTATTACGATCGTATTATGAATCATAAGAATTTTGATCATGTAACGCATTATGTTTGTATTGCGAGCCATGAAAATTTTGATTGTGTAATGCATTACATTTGTATTTAAGTCACGAGAATTTTGATTGTGTAATGCATTACATTTGTATTGTGAGTCATAAGAATTTTGATTGTGTAATGCATTACGTTCATATTGCGAGTCATAAGAATTTTAATCATATAACGTATTACGATTATATTATAAGTTACAAGAATTTTGATTGTATAACGCATTACATTTGTATTACAAGTCACAAGAATTTTGATTGTGTAATGTATTACGATCATATTACGAGTCATAAGAATTTTAATCGTGTAATGTATTACGTTCGTATTGTAAGTCATAAGAATTTAATTGTATAATGTATTACGATCGTATTATGAGTCACAAGAATTTTGATCATGTAATGTATTATATTTGTATTGCGAGCTATGAAAATTTGATTATGTAATGCGTTACGTTCGTATTGTGAGTTATGAGAATTTTGATCATGTAATGTATTATGTTTGTATTGCGAGTCACATTTTCACATATTGCATGTATCGGAAAACGCTAATATCAGCCTGTAACACAAAATTTTGTATAATAGTCTAAACGCCCAGTTTTTTCAGCTTTGGCTTCTTTTGAATCCAAAAGAATAGGTAATTTGGTAAGGGCTAGAGCTCTGAATTAGGTCAGGTTGACCTGTTTACCTGATTTGAACTGACCTGAAAATTCTGGTCAGATCAATAGATTTTCAGGTTGATGTCAGATCGGGTTAATAGGTCGAACTGACCCGACCCGATCTGATAAAAATTCAGGTCAACCAATCATTCTTCTTGAATAATTTATTATCGTTAAATTAGAAATAACAAAGTTGAT